GCCTGTCGTCGCCGCCCCCGCCGCCCGTACGCCCGCTCAATTGTACCACACACACACACACACGCACACACACACATACACACACGCATACACACACACACACACATACACACACATGAACGTATACACACATACACACACACAGACACACATATTTTTTTACTTATTTTCTGTTTCCTATTGTTTAGATGAATTAATTAATATAACTAGTTTATTTTTAGAATTATGGAAATGTTAATGTTAGATGAATTATACTAGTTTATTTTTAGTAAATGCTTAGTTGAACTAGTTGATTAATATAACTAGTTTATTTTTAGTAAGAAAATTTAGGTATATGAGATTAGTTGAACTAGTTGAATTAATATAACTAGTTTATTTTTAGTAATGCTTAGTTGAACTAGTTGAATTAATATAACTAGTTTATTTTTAGTAAGAAATTTAGGTATAAGAGATTAGTTGAACTAGTTGAATTAATAGAACTAGTTTATTTTTAGTAAATAGTTAGTTGAACTAGTTGTATTAATAGAACTAGTTTATTTTTAGCAAAAAAAATTAGGTATATGAGATTATTTGAACTAATTAAAATTTAGGTATATGAGATTATTTGAATTAATATAACTAGTTTATTTTTAGTAAGAAAATTTAGGTATATGAGATTAGTTGAACTAGTTGAATTAATAGAACTAGTTTATTTTTAGTAAATATAATGCTTAGTTGAACTAGTTGAATTAATAGAACTAGCTAGTTTATTTTTAGCAAAAAAAATTAGGTATATATGAGATTATTTGAACTAATTAAAATTTAGGTATATGAGATTGTTTGAATTAATATAACTAGTTTATTTTTAGTAAATGCTTAGTTGAACTAGTTGAATTAATATAACTAGTTTATTTTTAGTAAGAAAATTTAGGTATATGAGATTAGTTGAACTAGTTGAATTAATAGAACTAGTTTATTTTTAGTAAGAAAATTTAGGTATATGAGATTATTTGAACTAATTAAAATTTAGGTATATGAGATTGTTTGAATTAATATAACTAGTTTATTTTTAATAAATGCTTAGTTGAATTAGTTGAATTAGTTGAATTAGTAAGTGTTTAATGTATCGCCTATATGAACATAGGAAATGTCGTCTGACGACGGAAAAAATTTCATTATGTGCGAATACTATGAAGACCAGCGCGGCCAGTGCGACAGAAATTTCCTTGTTGATGATAGGCGATTCAGCATCAAGCTGGATGAGACCTTCGAATTCGATACAATAAGTCACAACGACAAGTGTCTGTTTTCGTAATTAAGCATGACTTATGCATGATATATATATGCTTCATTTGCCTGACTTATAATTTTTAATTTTCACTATTCTACTAGTGCATCCCCTGCCATGCAAGAATTTTTGTCTTGGATAAGATAGGTTTCAATTATATGGAAACTATGGAGGTAAAGAGAGTTTACCTGAAAACTAAGCATGGTTATACTTTCAACGTCAAAGTATACAATGCACACATGTACACCTATTTTGAATGCAAAACTTGACAAGCACTATGCAAGACTTATGCATTTGAGCCTGGTATGGTTATCACCTTTGATATTCGTCCGGAAGATGATATTGAAGGTAATAGAGACATATGGGTCGATGTGCATACGCCTCCAATTCTACCATTATGTGAGTTCTTCTCAACTATATTTTTGTCTTTGATATTTCTTATTCAAAAATAATTGACAACTAATTTATATTGACAGCTTCTCTCCATTCAACCAAACATGTCCGGCGCTTGGTAGACAGGACCTACTACTATCCCAGAGCTGAACTAAACTGCGAGGAGATAAGTCATTATGTTTCATGGCTTGAGGATCTTCATACTGTCAAGATAAATTTTCTTCCTGCACTTAGAAATGTTAGTACTCAAAATGTGCGACTAGTGATGGTATTGAACTACGGTCACATCTATTTAGGAATGATGGTAAGATTTTTACTATTCGTCCTCAATGCATCTTTTGCATACATAATTTTCTTGCTAAACTTTCATTGCTAAGTATATTAATTAAGTACTATACGATGTTCTTCAACAGGGATCCCGATGACAGTTATGCCTCAGGAGATCGAGACTAAAGGTCGCATGTCAATTGTTAGCTTACGGCCAAGATATCCTGCATTGCACATGAATGCATTCAGGATTTCTAGAAGCGATGAATGTTTAATAGTGAAAGATTGGAGGAAAATTGTTAACGATCGCAGAGAAGTACTAGGGGGCAGCAATGAGAAGCATAGCCCATGATTAGGAGACAGGTTCATCTGCATGCTCCAGTATGATGAATCAGGAGAGCTATACATGTTCTATGCTATTTTACCAGAGAGAGAGTAGCTAGCAGGAGTGATTTAGCATGCTGCTCTTAGTACTTGTCCTTTCATGTCCGTGTTCTTCATTCTGAACTTAATCTTAAAGAGTTATTTGCTTTTGTGGTGTTATATATGAACGCTTATAATATCATGACAATCATGTTGAACTCGATGATATTTCTGCTTCTGGTACAAGTGAATGTTTCTTCTTTAAGCTATTATTGATGGTGATTAGATAGCGGTCATGACTATGATAATTAAATAATGATAATGACGACTACGATGATTTTTAGCTAGCTAGCTCTAGAGTATGTTGATGATATGATGCAAGAGTTTTTATATTAATAATATGATGATATGATGAGTAATTATTATATCATTTAATGAAAGAAACCACATATTAGCTAGTTTCAGCTGGATGGATTCTACCTAAGTGATCAACTATATATATGCCATATCCATACATATTATATTTGATCACCTAATTAGGTGATCAAGTATATAATATCAATATGGCATATATATATACTTGATCACTTAGCTATAGCTAGCTATATATAGCTAGCTAGATCCTCCAGTCGAAACTAATCCGCGGTACTTTCACCTAATGATTTAACAACTCATTATAATGTAAAACAATCACTAAATTAAATTGAAAACACAAAACTAAAGCAAAAATTTAAAAAAAACCCAAACATTTAGTACCGGTTGGTGTTACCAACCGGTACTAAAGCCCTACGCGCACCCGGGCCTGGCTCGTGCCACGTGTTCGCACTTTAGCGCCGGTTCGTGACGAACCGGTACTAAAGGGGGGGGCTTTAGTCCCCACTCTTTAGTGCCGGTTGGAGAACCGGCACTAAAGGCCGTTACGAACCGGCACTAAAGGCCGGTTCTGCACTAGTGTCGGTAATATCGTAGCGGTGCTTAGGCGAAGCACTGCGTCGGTAGCATCATCAACACCGTCATCACGCCGTCGTGCTGACGGAACTCTCCCGCAAAGCTCTACTGGATCGGAGTTCGTGGGACGTCATCGAGCTGAACGTGTGCTGAACTCGGAGGTGCCGTGCGTTCGGTACTTGGATCGGTCGGATCGTGAAGACGTATGACTATATCAACCGCGTTGTGCTAACGCTTCCGCTTACGATCTACGAGGGTACGTGGACGGCACTCTCCCCTCTTGTTGCTATGCATCACCATGATCTTGCGTGTGCGTATGATTTTTTTTGAAATTACTACGTTTCCCAACAATGGGGACAAAGGAGCTCTTTTGGAAGTTTGTCTCTAATCCGGTGACCTCACCAAAACAGCCTAAAATGGATGAGAGGTTGTCAATATCTTGCTTGATGGGAGCCATGAACACCATTGCATCGTCGGTATAAAGTGAGGTCCTACACACAGCCCCACGACCATTGATTCTTGTGAATTATGTATATTTGGCCGTCTTGGATGTCTCTATAAACAAGAGAAACTTTGTCCATATTTCTAATTATTTTAAACTTGGTAGCTTTACAGTAGTGTGGTAGCACTGCCGGGTTGAGTTGGAATCTAGAGTGTTACAAACAAGTATTTGATGAATACTAAGGTCAATATTTCACGAACTTCAAGCTTGAATGGAATAATCGACCAAATTTGGTATACTTTAAAATATTAATTCTTCTACAATATTTTTTAATTATTATTCATGTGGGTGCACGCGGAACCACGTTGACATTTGTACTTTGGGGATACGTGGTCTTCTTCTTCATTTCTTCGAAAGAGTATATTTGTTCCTAGCGTGAGGCTAGCCTTTGGGGATACGTGGTACTTTATTTTACAGCCGCTGCGCCTGCTCTTCACCGCCATCGCTCCCATCGGCGGCCGCCCAAACCCCGGCACCCTCTCAGCCAATGCCGGCGCCGCTCGCCGCCTCCTGGCGCCGGCATGCCTCCGCCGCGGCGTCCTCCTCCACTCCCCGGACCCTCCTCTTGCTCGTCCCGGTTCTCATCCTCCTCGTCTTCGTCCTCTCCAGAGCCCCAGATCTCACCTTCTCCCCGGCCACTGCCGCCACGCCCCGCCTCGCCGCGCAGCTCCGCCCCTTCGACTGCTACGCCTCGCCGCAGGCCTCCCCGGTCTTGGCGAGCCTCGTGGAGGGCGTGCCCCGCCCCTTCCTCTACTCCCTCGCCGACCTGGGGTCGCTCCCCGACCGCCCGCACCGGAACATCGCCCGCCTCCTCAAGAGCAAGCGCTTCCGCAAGCCCGACATCTCCCAGACCGTCCAGGAGCTGCTCGCGGGGGAGGTAGGGAGGGGCTCCGGCGGCGGGGTGGTGGTGGACGTCGGGGCCAATGTTGGGATGGCGGCCTTCGCGGCGGCCGTGATGGGGTTCCGGGTGGTGGCATTCGAGCCGGTCTTCGAGAACCTGCAGCGGATCTGCGACGGGGTTTACCTGAACCGGGTGCAGGACCAGGTGGTGGTGTATCATGCTGCAGCATCTGACCGAGTTGGGAACATCACAATGCATAAGGTATCTTCTCTGGTTCAGATTGCTCCGTTTAAAAGTTTATCAACGATGGTAATTTTGGATTGCAGTAGTAAGTAGTACTAACCAGATGTTTGTTGATCGAGATGTACCTCGGGGAGCTGGATGAAGTATTGTGCTAAACTCAGATTGTGCTTGTTTACCTCACCATCCGAATTACTTGGGACAAAAGTACCCATAGAAATGGTTGGAGAACTGTTGAAGTGAATCTATGAGTTAAGGTGGAAGTTGCACTCTTGCATCACGGGGAATTTGATCATTCACCCCGTATTAGATGGGCACTTGATCGTTTGCCTCACCTTACTCAAGCTTAAAAGATTTGCCCCACTTTACTTAGATCTTTTATTATTTGCCCTAATTATCCTTTTCCTGTATGTTCTATTAGAGGAAGTTCCTAAATCTTGTGATGCTCATCCACAAATATATGTCAATTTATAGTCTGAACCTTTTCTTTTCCCTTGCCATTGGATTTGGGGTTATTCATGGTCTGACAGTGCTATACTTTCTAAATGGAGTCATTTAGAAATAGAAAATGCCTTGTTCTTTAAACTAAATATTACATCTGGCAAGTTATCCTTGTCACTGGTGGAACAGGGTTTACATGAAAAGTTTTCCAGTTGCGTGCTACTGGTTTATTATTAAAGCATCAGCTTAACCTTTGTGTTACAGGACTTCATTTTTATTTTGTGTTGTTAAAACATATATATATATATATATATATATATATATATATATATATATAGGGAAAATGCATCCTACTACCGGGTGTAGCTACACCCATTTCTCATATACTACCATGTGGTAGTACATACTCTACTTTATCATTTTTAGTATGTTCATATACTACATCTAAGATACTCCAAAGTGAGTTATATGAAAAAATTGCAAGTGAGCTCATGGTTTTATTGTGTTTGTGAAATACGTACATATTTGTACGCGAAATAGAGTATGCACAAAATATGATACATACTGTCAAAAAAGTAGTATATATACTACCTAAACATTCTTATATACTACATACTACGCGTACATACACTCCAATATGATAGATACTACCTAGAACGTATCAAACAAAAGTGGGAGTAACTACACCCGGTAGTAGGAAAAATTTGTCCTATATATATATATATATATATATATATATATATATATTAAAGGTTGAGTTACTGGACTCACTAAACCAATGACGGGTAGCATAACCGACATTTAGGATCCAATCTATTACATGGCGTGGAGTGCCTTTTTTCGAGCAATCAACAGGAGCTCTGGCTCTTCATTAGTACAAAAAAGAGCTGACCAACTGATAGTGAAAACCGGCCAAATACTTACCCTTCCCTAGCTAGTTACTGTTAGAGGAGCAACTTTGCATAGCCCAAGGAGTGAATATATATTACATGGCACTTGGAGTACAAAGTAAGGAAAGTTGGACTACTACGAATATGTAAGGAGACCTTGACCAATATTAATACTCCTTAACAGTTGCAGACTACAGCGGAACTCATTCTGGCTAAAGTTATAACTTCCTGATTTGCCTGATGCACTTCTGGTTCACGCTGATAATATTTCAAACTGTCATATCGAACCATTAGTGAATTCATTGCCACTTTCATATAAGTGCAAACACCCCATTTGCAAATTAGTCTGACTTGCGTCGCTTCTCGTGGAAATCTCAGATTGCTTGCTCTTATAGATAATGTTTTATTATTATTATATCTCAACAGCTTACTGTGAGTATTTTGGCAATGTAGGTGATTGGACGACTCGACAACAGTGCTATATCTGCAACTGGTGCGAAGTTAGCATTCAAATCTAATGAAGAAGTTGCTGTCGAGGTTGCTACAATCCCATTGGATGAAGTCATTCCAGATGCAGAGCGAGTGGTTCTGGTCAAAATTGATGTTCAAGGTTGGGAATCTCATGTTCTGAGAGGTGCATCAAAGTTGCTCTCAAGGAGGAGAGGTGAAGCTCCCTACCTTATATACGAAGAGGACGAGCGCCTGCTGCAGGCGAGCAACAGCAGTGCACAAGAGATAAGGGCATTTCTTGGCAGTGTTGGTTACAATCAGTGTACGCGGCATGGGACGGATGCTCACTGTACAAAAGAATAGACAAAGCTTTTTCCGCCTGGTGGTTGGACGCCCCTCAGCTGGGGATACATAGAACAGTCAAATAGGATGTCCTGAGCTGTAAGTTTTCCCCTTATCTTAGGCAGCAGTTCAGATGCTCCATCCTTATAGTTTTCTCCTTGACTCCACCGTTTCTGTTTATTTCTTTTAGGTTAGTTTGTTGATTGCTGGATCTTTTAACATCATATGCTATACATGCTTTGTCTAATGGCATTTTAACGCATGCTTGTTCTCATTAACCTCATGTTTGTACTGTCAGTCTTAATGGTATTCCCTTGAAGTAATGAAATTCCTGTGATTGTGATTCTAAAATCTATGCTCGCTAAACATCCTTAGTTATACCATAAATTTGATCATTTGGCCTTTCATCTTGGAGTATTTGAGGATTGGCCGCATATGGAACCCTCAAATGCAGTTAAGTGAAGCAGCCGCGATTCCTCTTGGATCTGGCTCTGCCATTGCCATGGACACTAGTCAGACACACAAGCATATTTACTAGCTTTCCTCCGCCCCTCCTTTTTTTTGGTAATTTTGAACTTCCTGGCTAAAAGTTGTGTGTCTGGGGGGTGGGTGTTGTAACGTTGTTATTTCTCCTGCCTGTCAATTGCCTGAATTATACCTTTGTTATTAATCAGTTATTACAAAGGCGGTTGTTATTCAGTAAGAGTAATTTATTTTACTCCCAGATTAGTTTGGTATGCACATGCTAATTCCAGATCTGCATGGAAAGTTTGTACTCGTAACTTGGTCGCCTACAATTTACCAATTCGGGCGTCATCCATTGTGAAGAGGAAGAAGACTACGGTAGGTCTTATGGCTCGAGGACGTAGAGCGCGAAGTACCGGAAGAAAGCACCAGGGAAGAAGAGAAGGAAGCCATACTACAGGCAGTCACCAAGAACAAAGTGGAGCAAGAGATCATCAATTTTTTGTCAATCTCGTCAGATGACGAGGAAGATCACCAAGCTCTCGAGCTCATCAATGTGTACGAAGGCCATCTACCTTGTACTTTCGTTGAGAAATCTATAATACTCAGCGATCCACATCAGCAACTATCAAGCTCAGCGATTCTGCCATGTCTCTCAATAGCCTTTTTCTCCTAAAAAAATGGCCATTCAGTTTTTGTCTTCTTTTTTGGTTGAGAAGTTCAGTTTTTGTCCTGAGATGTGTTCTTCCATCCATTCGGTTATATGTTGCTAGCAAACTAGCGTGTACATGGCAGCCCACTCGTTTCCAAACATTTTGTTTTCCGCCACTACCAAACTGGCAATTAATTAAAGGGCAGCGATCTGCGCCGGCGCACTGGCCCAACAGTTGGGCCGGTCGAGGCCCAGCCGTCCGATGCGGTTTGCATGGACCGTTAGATCTGCGCGCATATACGGACTGAAGTAACCGTTGCAGCAAAAAAGAACAGTTTTGTTGCGACCGTGTACGAACAGGCACAAGAAGAAAAACAGGGAGTTGGATCCCCCCGCGACTGACCGTCCCCGATCCGCGGCGGCGGCGGCTAGATCCGCCTGTTATTCGTTCCCCGCGGCCGAATCACGTCGACGAGGAGCTCCCCCACCTATCAAGCCGCCTTGGGATTGCTTCAATCATGTCTTACATACGTCATGACCTCCTTGCCGCCATGGATTTGGGCTCGAGCTCCGTTACGGCCGGTCGAGGTTGCAGCTCGCCGCGAGCCCGTAGCAGCTCGCCGGCGACCGGTTGCAGCATGCACCCCTGCCCCCCGTGCTGGATCTCGCCGCCAGAATTCACGGAAACCCGTGCTGGGTCGCAGCTCAGCCATGATGGATGTAGCAAAACATTATGCCGGTTGTAGCAAAAAACGATGCTAGTTGTAGCAAAACCGCGACGCCAGCTGTGTGTTGTAGCAAAACGTGACGCTAGTTGTAGCAAAATGCTATGCCAGTTGTAGCAAAAATCTATGCCGGTTGAAGCATGTAGCAAAACTGCAGCATTTTATCATCTTCTTCCACCTCCAGCCGTCGCTGGTTGAAGCTTTCTTATTTTCATAGTGTCTAGTTGTAGCTTTCTCTCTCAATGGTGGGAGCTTTTTCCAACAACCGTTGAAGCTTTTTTACCAAAAGTTATAGCTATTTTCTTTTTAACAGCACTTGGTCAAGGCTTTTTGTGTCGTTTCGGTTGAAGCTTTTTTAATCGAAGGATGTAGCATTTCATGTCAACGGTTGTAGCTTTCCGGTGATGGCGCTGACCGCTTGTAGCTTTCTCTACATCCGGTTGAAGCTTTTCATCTAGGGGATGAAGCTTTTTTTTAAACGGTTGCAACATGAGGGGGTGCGACGATTCTGCAGAAGCCTCCGGTGTCGACCATCGCCGTCCGGCTCGTCGGCGGCGAGGCAGAAGCACGAGACGTGTGGGAGTTGCAACCGCCGGGGATGGGGATTGGTCAACGGACTGCATCCAATGGCGAAACGGGCTGTAAAGCATGGCAGGGTGAGATCTACATCCATGGACGCGCGGGGGATTCGACCTTCCATGGCCGACGGCGGGATGTGGGCACCGGCGTTGCAGGAGATGAGGATGGGGACGAGATCTGCGGAGCTGCGAGACAGGAATGAGGCGAGATTTGCGAGATCCGCAGCGCCACGTGGTTGCTCGCGACTGGGTCGCGACGTGCACGCGTGGACTGGACCGGCCGAAGCTTCGGCCGGTGCCCCGGCCCCAAACGTTTCCCTTAATTAAAGCAGCCCATCATAGATACTCGTCAAATCCACTAGAAACGGCTGGACGGAAACTGAGCTAGGCGATCAACAACAAAAAATGGATGAGACTTGCCTACGCCTATATGGTACGTGGCTTGATTTGATTAGAAAAAATAAAGCCCATGCCCATCCCTTAAAATAAGAGGATGATTAGATTAGAAAGGACAAAAAAAACAGCCAAGAATGGAGCGGGAGCACGGATGGGAGCATGGGGAGGAAGTATCCAAGCCGGATCCAAAAAAATGTGCCCCCTTCCCTGCATATTTGTGTGCCGTCCGTATAAAAGAGCTTCATCTCCACATGATGTATTCTTCACAATTGGAATATTGCTTCTCCTTGCGAAACATACAGCGGTCATTGCCTCGCCATGGCTCCACCAAACCGATCTTTTCTCGGCACTGCAGCCAGCTGGGCGACACTGATGGATTGATTAAAATTTGGATGATTCTATTGGTTAGAAGGACCACCCCGCCCTCAATGATATGTTTATCTATATTTTCCAGTTGTGATGCAGCAATTCGTCGTGTTGCGTTAGTTGTTCTGTTTCCTTGTGAAAACAGAGTCGGTCGGTCTCCAACCATGGCAAACCAGATTCATCATATATCAGTACATGTCCTCCTATATATGGAGCTCATGTTCCTATGCTTGCGTAGAATATTGGGATAGATATGGAAGTACTCTTGACTTTCTATGGTAGTTTTTTTTTTTTTTTTTTTGCCCAGTTTGCTTTCTTCAATTGCATACTGTAACTAAGAACGAGGCAGCATATTCAGATTTTGGTACTGGATTATTGATGACACATATGAAAGCTGTGAACTGGGGACGATCACGTACATCGTGAGGAGTGAGCTAGGTAAATTTTTTTTTATCTATTTGAAGAAACATAGCTCTACCTTGCATGCCTAGAGGCAATACTTTTTTCTTCTTCGTCGCGGCGCTTTCCATCCACCGTACTATAGAATGCCCCTAGATTCTGAACAGCAATTCACCATGGTATTTCTAACGTTCTATTCATGTCATTCTGTACCATTTTGAACTGACATTTTATTGCCCCTGGAAGATAATAAAGTGTCCGCATGGTTAATCATATACGTGGTATTCCAGGCACTAGCAGAGTTTTGCGTGAGAAATGCCAAATATCCATTTATTATAGCAAAAGATTCTCAATTCAGTATATTTTTATATGACTTTTTCCAGTTAGATAAATCTTTTGAGATGTTACATAGATTTTAACAATTGCAGCCTTCAGCAAAAACACACACAAGTAAATGAGGTTTGTTTTAACAGTTTTGCTAGAACTCATCTAGATGAGATATAATTTGGTCTCATTCACCTTTTATGGCCATTGGATGTGATGCTATAAGATGCGTGTGTACTGACGTGGGCTGTATCTATTCTTGTTTTCAAAGTGAATGAGGCCAAATTATATCTCATCTAGATGAGTTCTAGGTACTCCCTTGTTTTAATGTGTAGCACAACTGATCATAAGGAAGTTGGCAGCTTTGACTTTTTTTTCGTTCACTATATGATATCATAACCATTAAGGGTTTAACACACCAAACATGTGATCATTAGTTTGTATTTTTTATCGTGCTAGCATAAATTTTTTTATACTATTCTCAAGATTTGTTAATTGTCTACATCTATTTTTTTAATAGCTTATTTTTCGCTGCAACATGTGGGAAATCATCTAGTTAATAGAAAGGGGCAATGCCCGGTTGTTCGAGAGTACGCCAAAGGCGTACCGTATTTTTATAGAAGAAAGAAAGAGAGTTTTACAAGTACCCATGCTAAGACGGGGGTACACCGGACTCCAACTCCGAAAAAAGGACACAAAGATTACTCTCTCAAAAATATATCTAAACCCTCAACTCCTATACCCGCGTTCTTCCAAAGCTTGATCTCCTCGTGGATGAGCTGGACAAGGTTAGTGTCCGTGCGTACTTGATCAATCCGGTTGAACACTCTTGCGTTTCTTTGTTTCCATAGATGCCACGCGGTCAAGATGACAAAGGAGTCGAAATCTCTCTTGAGCTTACCATGGAAGGACTTCCTAGCGTTGGCCCACCATCCCATGAAGGTGTCCTCTCGGCTTGGGATTTGTATGTTGATTTGTAACCATTGGAAGCAACCACTCCAAACTTGCGTCGCATAAACGCATCTAGCGAGGATATGATCCGTTGTGTCCTCATCTTGGCAGCACGTAAAGCATGCCGAGGACGTTTCTTTAAGTCCGTGTCTCGCACGCCTATCCGAGGTCCAAACCGGCACTGAGAGGCAAGCCACGCGAAGATTTTACACTTGAGAGGCGCCCAACTTCTTTAAATGCAGTGAGCGGCGGCAAATCGAGTCATGCCCTGGCAAAGCATCTTGTAAGTGGATTTAGCACTGTAAGATCCCGTAGCGCTCCAGGGCCAAAGAAAGGCATCCTCCTCCTCAACGTTCGCCACAGCTTGTTGCAAGTGTATTAATTGCATGTGAGCAGTGAAAGAGAGCTGTCCCATGATGTCATGGACCACCACCATGGCCTAGTGGATGGAGCAATGAGCTGCCAACCACCACCATGGCCGAGCGGATGGAGAAGAAGCTCTAGTAGTTGCCATGCGCGGTGCACGCCGCTCCACGCCACCCAGGCCAAGATCAACAGCTCTCGGCTCACTCACTATATAGACACTCCATCGAGGCTAGACATCATCACAGGCCGATCCACCACCACCTGGAGCGATACTGCTAGGAGTAGGACCATGGCCGCCAACGCCGATGCCCGCTCCTCCTCCTCGCCCATGCACATCGTCATCTTCCCGTGGCTCGCGTTCGGGCACATGATCCCCTTGCTGGAGCTTGCGGAGCGCCTGGTGGCGCGCGGCCACCGCGTCTCCTTCGTCTCCACGCCGCGCAATCTCAGCCGGCTCCGGCCGGTCGCCGGCGTCCACTTCGTCGCCCTGCCGCTGCCCCGCGTGGACGGCCTCCCGGAGGGAGCCGAGGCCACCTCCGACCTCCCGCCCAGTCCCGGCAACTTGAGCGACCTTCTACTGAAGGCCGCCGACGGCCTCGTCGGGCCATTCTCCGCCTTCCTCGACGAGGGCGAGAAGCCAGACTGGCTCGTCCTCGACAACCTCCACTACCTAGCCGCAGCCGCCGCCGGCGACCGAGGCGTGCCGTCCGTGATGTTCCTCCCCTTCGCCGCCGCGTCGACCGCGCTCTGGGGCGTGCCGCGTGTGTCCACGGTGGTGGACCCAGAGCTAGGGGCGACCGTGCCCCAGCGCTTCGTGCTAACCTACCAGTGCTGCAAGATCGTCGCCCAGCGGTGCTGCGTGGAGTTCGACCCCGAGGCCGTGCCTCTGCTGCCCGGCGTCCTGGGAAAGCCGTTCGCCCCTATGGGCCTGCTGCCGCCGCCGCCTCTGAGTCTGAGGGCGAATTCGAATAATGAAGGTGGCGAGCTCGTGTCATGGCTGGACCGGCATCCGGCGAAATCCGCGTCGTCTACGTCGCGCTGGGAACCGAAGCGCCGCTGACCACCGAGCTGGTGCACGAGCTAGCCATCGGCCTGGAGCTCGCCGGGACGCCATTCCTGTGGGCTCTGAGGAAGGTCGGCGACCAAGACGTTCTTCCTCCGGGCTTCGAGGAGCGCGCCAAGGGCCGTGGCATCGTGGCGATGGGGATGGTTCCGCAGACGAGGATGCTAGCGCACGGCTCCGTGGGCGCGTTCCTCACGCACAGCGGGCCGGGCTCCGCCATCGAGGGGATCCAGTATGGGCATCCCCTCATCATGCTGCCCTTCTTCGGAGACCAACAGACGGGGGCTCAGTTCATGGAGAGGAAGAAGGTGGGTCTGCTGGTGCCGAGGAACGGGGAGGATGGAGTGTCTTTTGACCGGCAAGGCGTCGCGTCGACGGTCCGGGCCGTCGTGGTGGACGAGCAAGCAGGACGCCTCTTCGCCGCCAATGCCAAGAAGTGGCAGCAGGTTGTCGCGGACACTGCCTGCCATGAGAGGTACATCGATGAGTTCGTTCAGCAACTCAGGTTCTACAAGGACCAGTGACTCGATGGCTAATGGAGGCGAGAAACGACTCGTGCGTACAATACATCACCCTCCGTCGGCGATTCCTTCCACATTTTATGGTTTCGGCAAAATATGGCTTGTTTCAGAGTGTTACTGTTAGCTCGATGTGTCATCTGTGCGTGTGCTCATGTGCTCGTGCGCGAACATGGCTTGTTCCAGTTCCAATCCCTATGAGCACCCAGGCCGCTATATCATCTTGACATTTTACGAAGTTATTATAGGCGCCTAGTAGGAATGTCTTCTCCCACTAAACCCGTATCATCGAAAATTCTGAAATAAATTCAGGATAAATGCGAGCACCAGGACTAGAACACTGGTGGGTCGAGGGTGCCGATGTCCTCCTAACCAATCAACCATAGGTTGATTCGCCATCAACAACATCCGTTAGTGGTCGTAAAATCCATCCGTAGCGGGAGCTCAAGAAGCGAGCTTTTTTTAGCTACCAACTTTATTACTCAAAGATTACAGAGTTTTGGATACATATCGGGTTGGCCTAGCCAAACGGCAATCCCTATTTGACGCTCGCGAGCGTCAAAAGGACACGGCTTTGCTGGAGCTTGAGCTCCCGACGCCTCAGTTTGGGCTGGCCCATGGTCGCAAGGCTGTTTCATCTCTTTTCTCTTTCTTTCTTTTTTTAATTTTTATGTTTCTATTTTTTTATGTTATTCCATTTTATTTTATTTATTTTTGTTTCATTTTTCGTGCATTCTACAAAGTACATTGTGTGTTTATACAAAAAAAAGTTCATCGTATATTGAAGGAAATGTTCACCTTATATTATGAAAATGCTCAACATATTTTTTATAAAATTTATTGAGTATTTCAAAATTGTTCAATGCATATCACAACAATTAGTGTATATTGCAAAACTGTTCAATATATATTCTAAATTTTTTCATCATATATAAACAATTCAATAAATGTTTGGAATTTCAAAAGTTTGTTCATGGTTTTCAAATTTTTGTTCACTGTATGTAAAAAATGTTCATCATGTAGAGCAAAACAATTCAGTGTGCATTTGAAAAGAAGTGCATTATATATTAAAACAATGTTCAGTGCGTATTTAAACTATCCTAAAAAAGTGCAGACTGTATTTCTAAATTCTTTTTTTAGAAAATGTTCACATTTTTAAAAATTGTTTGAAATTTCAAATTTAGTTACTTTTGTTGCTAGGTCTTATAGCACTGCGCTGATGTTTAATCACCATAGACCATCACCTCAGTGGTTATCCACGCGCACTCGGAACCTAGATGTCCCGTGTTTCATTCTCTCCCACGTGCACTCATTTTTGGGGATCTTTTTTCCATATTTCGAACTGTAATGGGTCATCCAGTAGTGCCTCTTCTGCACGAAAGCTCGACTAGGCGCACGCGGGCGTCCAATAGGAGCTCTCTAGCCAAACATGGTGCCCTGGCCTAATTAGAAATATTTTTTCTATTCACATCTAACATTTTTCAAATGCGAGATTAATATTTTCAAATGTTTTACATAGAGTGTGTTTTGTAATATATATACTTACAATATTTGGAAGTAATAAACGAAAAAAGTGAAAAACCCTGAAGTTGTGGCCTGCCGCGAGCTGGGTCGGCACATCTGGCTCTCGCCTTCACACGAGGTTCCTGACATCTCGTTATAAGCGAGGCATAGGGGCCTGCACTTATAACGAGATGTTAGAACTTTTCTGTAAAATTGGAAACATTTCTTTGTAACGTATTTTTTTAGAAAAATCCTGTGAAATTTTGAAAACCGAAACATTATTTAGTTTTCGATAAAGTTAAAACAATAACATTTTTTAAATTACAAACAGTTTTTTAAAATAGAAACTTTTATGAAATTGGAATACAGTTTTGGAGAACATGAACATTTTGAATTTTTTAACAAAATATGAAAACAAGAACACCTTTTGAAATTCAGGACAATATCTGAAAAGCACGATAATTTTAAAAAATGAGAACACTACTTGTATATTTGAACTTTTTTGGAAATCCAAACAAAATTTGTCTATATCCAGGCTGAGCGCTTCATGATTAAGTCTGTTAAGAAATGAGAAGTGAAGGTAGCACTAACATTAAAGTTTCTTAGTTATTTTTTTTGCGGCAGATTCTTAGTTTTATTATTGGTGTACACTACTCATTTCTGGTTGAGAATTCAACTTTTTTTTTTGTATTTTTGCTTGTGTAGTTATTACTTCAGATGTTACTAAGATACTTCAGATGTTACTTAAGACAGTTAGAAAAGTAAAGTTTTCAGTTTAGTCCTTTAATCGACGCCTAGCCGAAGTCCTAAACCTTTAGGTTTGCAATTTTTTTACTCCTCAGCCCTGCGGATGCCAAAAAATACTCGGCCACCCAGCGGGCGTGTAAAAGCCATGGCCTCTTTTCGACCCCCACTGCACTGCTTCATTGTCGGTGTAGCTGCCGGCAAGTATCCATCACCGCCACTGCTACCTCACAGCCTCCATGCTGCCTGAGTCGTAGCCGATCGCCAGCCATCACCGTCGCTGGAGTCGAAATGAAACGCCGCCGCCGCATAGACCGCCGTTGTCGCCGGAGTCGAGCTGTCATGACTTGTTGCATCATCTTATATAACATGATCATTGAAGATAAGAAAGGCATGCCTGAGAACTATAGATACATCACCAATGGGAATCATGCTTAGTCAAAGTACGATGCATATAGGATCCAAATATTGCTTGAAGCACATCGCAGGATCGAGAGCCTAGAAGTTCATATCCATCTCCAAGATAATCTTCGTTGAGCATCACTGGCATCATCATAGCACTTCATAGTTGTGCTTTTATCAGGCTATTTATTTCATCTGTGAAGGAAATATGCCCTAGAGGCAATAATAAAGTTATTATTTATTTCCTTATTTTATGATAAATATTTATTATTCATGCTAGAATTGTATTAACCGGAAACTTAGTACATGTGTGGATACATAGACAAACAGAGTGTTACTAGTAGCCTCTACTTGACTAGCTCGTTGAATCAAAGATGGTTAAGTTTCCTAGCCATAGACATGAGTTGTCATTTGATTAACGGGATCACATCATTATAGAATGGCGTGATTGGTTTGACCCATTTCGTTAGCTTAGCACTGGATCGTTTAGTATATTGTTATTGCTTTCTTCATGACTTATACATGTTCCTATGACTATGAGATTATGCAACTCCCGGATACCGGAGGAACACTTTATGTGCTACCAAACGTCACAACGCAACTGGGTGATTATAAAGGTGCTCTATAGGTGTCTCCAATGGTACTTGTTGAGTTGGCATAGATCGAGATTAGGATTTGTCACTCCGATTCTCAGAGAGGTATCTCTGGGCCCTCTCGGTAATGCACATCACTATAAGCCTTGCAAGCAATGTGACTAATGAGTTAGTTGCGGGATGATGCATTACGGAACTAGTAAAGAGACTTGCCGGTAACGAGATTGAACTAGGTATTGAGATACCGACGATCGAATCTCGGGCAAGTAACATACCGATGACAAAGTGAACAACGTATATTGTTAAGCAGTTTGACCAATAAAGATCTCCGTAGAATATGTAGGAACCAATATGAGCATCCAAGTTCCGCTATTGGTTATTGACCGAAGATGAGTCTTGGTCATGTCTACATAGTTCTCGGACCCATAGGGTCCGCACGCTTAACATTCTGTAACGATTTGTATTATGAGTTATGTGATTTGATGACCGAAGTTTGTTTGGAGTCCCGGATGAGATCGGGGACATGACGAGGAGTCTCGAAATGGTCAAGACGTAAAGATCGATATAATGGAAGGCTATATTCAGACATCGGAAAGGTTTCGAGTGATTCGGGTATTTTTTGGAGTATCGGAGAGTTACGGGAATACGTATTGGGCCTTAATGGGCCATAGGGAAAGGAGAGAAAAGCCTCAAGGGTGGTGCCGCCCCTTCCCCATAGACTGGTTCGAATTGGACTAGGGAAAGAGGGCGCCCCCTTCCTTCCTTCTCCTTCTCCCTTCTCTTTTTCCTATTCCATGTGAGAGGTGGAATCCTACTAGGAACAGGGAGTCCTAGTAGGACTCCACACTTTGGGCGCACCCTATGAGGGTCGGCCTCCTCCTCCCTCCATCCTTTATATACGTGGCCAGAGGGCACCCCATAGACACACAAGTTGATCATTGATCTCTTAGCCGTGTGCGGTGCCCCCTCCATCATAATCCACCTCGGTCATATCATCGTAGTGCTTAGGCGAAGCCCTGCGCCGGTAGCTTCATCATCACCGTCATCAAGCCGTCGTGCTGATGAAGCTCTCCCTCGACACTCTGCTAGATCATGAGTTTGTGGGACGTCACCGAGTCGAACGTGTGCAGATCGAGGAGATGCCGTACTTTCAGTGATAGGATCGGTCGATCATGAAGACGTACGACTACATCAACCGCGTTGTCATAACGCTTCCGCTTACGGTCTACGAGGGTACGTGGATAGCACTCTCCCCTCCCGTTGCTATGCATCACCATGATCTTGCGTGTGCGTAGGAATTTTTTGAAATTACTACTTTTCCCAACGTCACAACGTAACTGGGTGATTATAAAGGTGCTCTACAGGTGTCTCCGATGGTACTTGTTGAGTTGGCATAGATCGAGATTAGGATTTGCCACTCCGATTGTCGGAGAGGTATCTTTGGGCCCTCTCGGTAATGCACATCACAATAAGCCTTGCAAGCAATGTGACTAATGAGTTTGTTGTGGGATGATGCATTACAGAACGAGTAAAGAGACTTGCCGGTAACGAGATTGAACTGGGTATTGAGATACCGACGATCGAATCTCGGGCAAGTAACATACCGATGACAAAGGGAACAACGTATGTTGTTATGCGATTTGATCGATAAAGATCTTCGTAGAATATGTAGGAACCACTATGAGCATCCAGGTTCCGCTATTGGTTATTGACCGGAGATGAGTCTCGGTCATGTCTACATAGTTCTCGAACCCGTAGGGTCCG